CCCAAGTGACTGTGGCGTAATCACCTGGTCAGAGGTGGGACCAACACGTGGTCTTTTGTTTACTACTTAGCGGCTGTGTACCTGTGGGTTTATTCTGTGTGTTAATGGATGTTCTAATCTTGGTATTTTTCCAGTGATTTCTCTTGGTGCAATCCAAATACAGTAGGTGTGTCTTGTTTACCTGAGATTTGCAAGAGTTTGAGCTGGCCAACATGTTAGTTTTTTTCATATGGTTGATTACTGGCATGTTGATTTCCCATTTTTGAGCCATATTTTCAACTTTCTTCGTCATTTTCATATATCAATCTCGTCATATGTTAACATTGTCGTCTATGGAAATTCAATTAGTGGTATGGCCCTACATACGACAGGTCCAATCAACCCATGAGCTCTGCTTTGTCATCTTTGTTGGCAGTGGAGCTAAAAAGTTGATGTGAACGCTGAATCTCTCGTATGATAATCTTTACGTGACAAAATCAACAGCAGAGCTAAAAATGGGTGCGCAGCTTGTAGATGAGGACACCACATTTGGAATTTATTACAATTATCACCTAACAGATCCACCAAGTACTACTGTAAAGTCTACATTAGAAGTTTATAATAAAATGGTACAATGCAACAGAAGGGATGGGGCTTCTATTAGAGCATCTACACATACGAGAAAGGATGAATTTTTGATGCCCAGTTGTTAAAAAAAGAAACTAGTGCAATTTCTATTAGGGATACAGAATTTTACAGTAACATGCTGGATATCTCAAAACGAGAACTTTTGAGAACTGTTCATTTGGATGGATACTGCGCTATGCAGGGAAAGTATTACGTATTGTATATTTCTGCTCCAATCATCTGTCAAGATGAAATTCATGGATGTAGCAATTATGCCAGTCAGATGATCATGTGACCATGCAACACCTAATTCATGTAGAAACATTACTTGCATATGCTTCCCAGGGCTATTCATTGCATTCCTATGAACTTGTCCTAACTCTCCATTCATTTGAACACAGACACTCGAATCATGATAAAATCCACTTTATTAAAATAAGCAACATATTGCAATAAGGCTGAAAACAATTCTCATTCACTATTACCTTCAGGTCATCACAAATTGATTTAGATCACAACAAGAGACATTTGTAAGATGTGAACGACTAAATTCATTGCAGCGTTTGGGCCAGTTCACGTAATACTCCACTAAGAAGGTAGCAACTGTGCACCGATGCACAGAAAAACATCTCAACTAGGAACAAAAGAAATGCACATATAAATATTAACAAATTCGAGATGTGCACATATCCAAATATTAGATGTTCAGGTTACACTTTTCATTTCATTTCTACTGACAAATTAATAAATCTTTATTAATCAGTGATAATTCCATAGTCAAAAAAAAAAGTTTATTCTAACGTACAGGGGGAAAAATTTGGAGTGGCCTTCAAAACGACAAGCGATTTGCAGCTGTCAAAAGAGTAACGTCAACAGATTTTCAGAATTACTACGATAGTTTAAGATGCAATACGGCAAGGTAATAAAGTAAGTATCGGCAACTTTTTTTTGTAAACATGTGACAAGTCAATAAAAAGATTAAGACTTCTGAGGTAATGACGAGGCCGATAAGAACTGGCGATGAAAGTGGAATATTGCAAATATGCCTACTGTAAAATAGTATACTTCGTGCCATATCAAAATATACAATGGCAGATTTAAAAAAAAAAAAATACAATAAAATAACATTCATTTCACATTTCAGTGACAGAGGTCTTGAGGAGAAATGAGCCTTGACAACTCACTTTTATCAACTGTGCTGTAAATAACAGGAAAAACCTGATTTGGCGGCCGCTTTTGTGCAGTGCACTGTAATGTGAACCCAGACACTCTTAATACAATGGTACTTTAGTTTTTAAATTCATTCAAATTACAAAAACGTACTTGGGAGGTTAGCTAAACTAATACACCATCTACTAGCTAAGTGTATATACTAATTTCCGTTTCAAATGCAGAATCGTTGCTAATAAATACTAGCAAAAGGATGAAATTGCAAGATTTGTCGATTGTATTACTATCAGAGGATGGCACCCAAAGTTTTTGAACTTTGAAGTTTTCTCTGTTGTAATAGATACTAAATACACCTTGTCACGAATGTCAAATATTTAAAAAAAAAAAATCAACATAGTCAGGGTCTTGTATTTGACCAGTTGCAATAAGATGGGCTAGGCTAGTACTATGTGGGCCACCCTGTAATTGAAATGACAGGGGGGTCCGGAGCCAGCATTAAAACTCGTAAGTTTCATCTGCCATGTCAATTGCCCATTGGAATTTCTCTCGCTGAGTACGATTGTAAATTTTTTCAAGTGGTACTTCCCATTTCTTGCACCTGTAAATAAAGAAAATGCAAACTTTCATTACAAACATATCGACAAAATAACACTAATTGAGCAGAATTCAGACAATGACACTTGAGCGTGTGTGACACGATGTGACCAAGCTTAATGACGCCTGGGCAGAATGGATATGACCCAGACGTAATTGCAGGCTAGGTGGTTTATTCTACCCACAGATTTGACACTGAATGACCAATTGCATGATGGGAATTCAGTAACACTAGCTGGGGATGAGGTAACATAATAAATGTTGCTAACTGCAAAATCAAATACACAGAGAACAGTACAACTACTAAACTACTAAACTACAATCAACATGTAAAAATCATAGCGCTATAGACCCCCCCACCCCATTATATTTTTGGCAGGTTGGCCACATATTAATGAAATTTTGCATAGAACACAATATTGAAGCAAATGGCATATTTTGCAAATCTATTTTTTTTTCACGACTTGAAAGTAGCAGACTTTTGAAAATTGAAATTCACATCATCACTCATCATCATTCCCAAGTTGGCTTCATCTCATGATAGCTTTTATGAACTGCTTTTGATGCAACTGAATATGCACCACTGAAAGGTGGTTTTGAGAGTAATCCACAATAGGGGCTTTGTTTTTTTCAGTAGATTGTGTAAATGTTAATGGCAGGCTTTTAAGTCTCAATAATTTTGCTGGTCCTGACTATATATGCATTCAGTAATGCAATTTTGTGTAATTCTGGTTTCTCATGTGTACTCCACTTTTATGTATTTGTCAATTATTATAAATATAGTGTGATGTTCAAGCATAACTTCTAATAGCAAGCTGAAACAGCAAGTTCACCATTTAACTCACCATGCAACACTAATTCTGGGATCCAGATAGTTCAACTTGGAGGTACCCAATGCGATATCTTTGTTCTCCTCTTTGTCAGTCGCCTGTACCTCCAGTTTCATCAGCTGTTCTTCAAGTCGTTCTAACTGTTTCTTCTTGCGTTCAAGGGCACTGCAACAAGGAAGACATAATGAAGAGTAAGAAAATGTACAATAAATATCACAAATTTTATGATTTTATCACCTAACTATGCAATAGTTTGCTGTCAAGTACATGACATGCTTTTAGGGTTCAGTTTTAATTCCCACTTTTGTGTCTCATCCTCTAGTGATGGCATGGCGGCAGGAGTGTTGGCATGGAAACAAGTGTGACGATGAAGATTATGATGGCGACACAGTGATGGTCTCTTGTTTTGAGTGCACTAAATTGGACACCTAAAATGCAACAACACACAGAAATGGACAATACACCCACCTTTTCAATCTATCATCCCTGCTGGATTTGTACTCTCCTTTCAGTTTTTTGTAATCTTTTTTAGCATCTTTTATGGTGTCATTCTTTTTCTTTATTTTCTCCTGCATATTCAACATCTGTTTGTCAAACGTCTTGGGAATTGCCCTTTGATGGTTACACAGGACAGCTACGGCTCTGTTGGCGCGATTGTAGGAGAGGATCTTGGCAGTCACCGAGTCATCAGCTGAAATGAACAACCAATTGGGATGAAGTTTAATGAATCTTTTGATATTTTAGTAGTGATGGCGCACAAGATAATTCTTGTTGCATATTGCATGTAATTTTTTTTAATGAGTATTGCGAGTTATCGTGATATGTTACCTCGCTAAATGACGCCTGGCGGAATGAACTCCATCCAGTCGTAATTGCAGGCCAGGTGGTTTATTCTACCCACAGATTTGACACTGAATAACCAATTGCATGATGGGAATTCAGTAACGCTAACTGGGGACAAGGTAATGTAATGTCGCTAACCAACTGAAATCAAACTTACAATTACTAAACTACAGTCAACGATTACTCACGATTGGTTAACTCATTCAGTTGATCTTGCAGCGTCTTTGAAGCGTTGAAAGTACGGAAAACCTTGGCTGTTAGGCCTTCCATGAGCTCCTGTAGATGTTTATTCAAGATGCTGGTGTTCAGTCGATCGAACACATCGTCCCCAGGTGATTTGTTATCCATAAATAGCTGTAGATTTTTATACACCTACAAAAGGAGAAACAGATTAGATAATACTTTTCAACAGACACCTGCCATGGTCCAACTTTAAACAAAATTAGTTAAGAAAATTCAAAAACAACCAAAACGGTCACTCAAACCAGCACATCAATGAGCTGAAGTATTGATATTTGAATTTTTATTGTGTATATTTCTCGCGATATAGACAATCAAAAGTCAAATAACAGCCCCAAGACAGCGATAAACCTCTGAAAGTTTAATTTGTGACAATTACAACCTGTTAACAAGACTCGCGTTCATATATCTTATTATTATTTGCTAAATTCATCAAATCCAAACAAACGTGACAAACCCTTCAAGACTAAGTTTTCAAACCTAAATCTTGGTTTTAACATTTCCTTTATTTTTCTGCAATTTTTTACATAATTTCCTATTGACTACAGTCTTGCTCAAAATTCTGTATAACATATTATGCGCGTTTTATTTTTGTTGTTTACAGTAGCAAAATTTGACTTTGGCGCTAAAAAGGGGAGGCAGATTACAACATCCTTCAAAAATAATGCTGTCACCAAAGCTTACAGACACCCGACAGAATGTATACTATCCAAGTGTGCTTAGCAAGCTAGATGGTTTTATTCTACCCACAGACTTGACACTGAAAGACCAATTAAATGTTGGAGACTCAGTAACACTGACTGGGGAAACTATGCTGAAGTTACACAATGACTGCCTAAACTTACCCGCTTTTCCACTGGTACCTGATTAAGATATCGAATGGAATCTTTACCGAGGAAATCAAACTCTGCAACAAATTCTTTACCATTCAACTCTGGGTATAGCTTGATATGTTCAACCCGCAATGAGCAACAACCAACGGTATCCGCAGTCTCGCCTTCTTCCTTTTCATTACCGGCTCTCAATGCAAGCTGCGAAATTAAAAAAAGCACCGGTACATGAATGAAAACAAGTAATTTTGTCTAATTCATCACACCTCCAGGGATGGGCTATTAAATTTACACAAGAATCATTAAACAACTATGGCAGTTTAACTGAACTTTAACAAGAGTAACCGACAGTATTATTTTAGAAACATACAAACCTTGTCAATGAAATACATCGCCACAGCTCGCTGTCGAATTCTCATCTCCTTACTTCTCCAATCCTCTCGGTAATTTGCACGGATTTTTTCAACCACTGTCTTCAGCTGTCTGGCCATCTCGTACTTCTGCCAATCTTTCTCCCCCTGCACAATCAAACAGTTGCATGAATTTTTATGATGGCATTTATAGTCACATGTGTAGAATAGAATTTTTTATTTGGCACATGCGTAATTATAAATGTGCAGCTTTCTGTACAAATGTAGCCAAGTTTCATAACAGCCGGGCGACATGCACTAATACGGCATAACTACAGAGACTTGGTGGTTTACTATACCCACAGATTTGACACTGAATAACCAATGGAAAGACAGCAATTCAGTAACACTAGCCGGGGAAAACGATAATGTAATATATTATCCAACGATGATTTGTTATATCGCGAACATGAAAGCTGTCGATTCCTGCTTCGATCATCACCCAAGGCACAGCCTTGAAAGTCGTATATACATTCCCTGATACATGTATCAATTCGCCAGTGACTGAACGCTGACCTAGTGACCCACTCACCTTTAGCCTTGAATTTGCGTTTAACATAATATACTTGATAGCTCCTTGTATGTTTTCGGTCCAGGAGCACAACCATGTCACTTTGTTGTCATGTAACACCTGCTTCCATCTGTGGCCCTCCGGTGGTTTTGGAGTTTCTACATCTCTTTAAAGCGAAGGAAAAAGAATTTAAGTGATTTGCAAAATCATTGAATTGACGTCTGCAGTGGCAATTAGAGCGGATACAAATTTAAATATGGGTTACGAGTGGTTGTCTTACTTCGAACAATTGATGATGACTGTCTCTGGTTGAATTCGCTTCTTTAACATTCCCTGTTTTGGGTGATCACCACGTCCTCTAAACAGACCTGGCGGTTCTATCCTGAAGTTACCAATCTTCTGTTTGTGCCCGTCGATTATACAGAAACCGTATTCGTCAGTAAGAGCCTGGTTCTGTTTCTTGATTTCCTCTTTCTCGGCCTTGGTCATATTTTTCCTCTCCTCAGATTTCATTTTGTAGTAAGCTCCGATTTCTCGAAAGTCACATTTACTCAAGTCGGTTATTAGTGCTTTTTCATCGTGGGTCATCTCCTAGAAAGTAAAGAGAATGGCGTGAAGTGTGGCTAAGGAAATTAGAATATGCTTCTTGTAATTATTTCGTTATAAGCTATAAAGTGGTAATATTCAACCGATGCAACAAATATCATACCTTCCTCCAGTCTCTGAAAAAGTTTTTGTTGAAAATTTCTTTAGACGTGTAATCATGCTCCAACATTTTAGCATAGAAGCCAGCCACTTCTTCAGCTGCTTCCTCAAGCTGTACATGTTTTCCTGAAATAAATTCACAAGTAATTTATTTATGAATATAAATAATTACACCAATACAATGTTAAAAATTTAGAGACGTTTAGTAATGCATTTTGTTACATGTTTAGACACAGATAAACAAAAAAAATAAAACAAAAAAACAGGGCATCACAAATGTGATAGAAAGAAATTTACTCACCATCGTAATAAAACTTCACACTTTTGGGAAGACGTTCATATTCGGGTGCGAACACAGGACCTTTGTGTGACAACGACATCCATTTTACTCCTTCAGGGAGAGGTTTCTCTTCCCACCTTGCAAAGAATAATTAATAGTCTATGAGTTGACAAATATGATAATAACACAAGTGCCAGATAGTTTGTTTTAATATTCCACAACTCACCATTTCCAAACTTCTTCTTCTACTTTTTCTTTCTTTACCCTTTTCTTGGGGGACCCATCTGTCTTCTTAGCTGTTTTCTTGTCTGGTTTTACCTCTTTCTTGATTTTTTTCTGAATTTAATAATCAAGATTAGGAAAGTCAGAGGTGGGTGAAATAAAAAGCAACATCAGTGTGCTGTTGCTGAACATGCACACCAACTGACAAATACAAATAAAAGCAAGCTTACCAAAGGTTCATCATCATCTGGGCCAGTTTTCCTTTTCTTGTCACTGTGCTCTTTTTTCACTGATGTTGTAGAACTAGTCTTTTGTTTCTTCGCCTTCTGAGCCCTAGAACACAGAAAAACAAAAGTTTCTCAGACTTTTTCGAGACAATGTGCATCACAATGAAGGTAACCTCCACGTTGTTGACTCATCACTCCAAAATAAAAGCATGCAACACATTCTCACCTTGCGAACAGAGGCTCATCGTCTTCAGAATCTACGTCTCTGTGTGGCCTCTTCTTTGTGGGTGATGAATCGGAGTCTTCCTCGACCTTGACAGTGACGTTTGTCCTTTGCGCCTAAATGTGTGAAAATTAAATAACTTTAGACAGGTTGTACGTTTAGAAAACATTGTAAAACAAGTCGGTGTAAATGTAATGGTCCTTGTCAACTATTTAAGTGCCTTGACATTTTCAAATTATATGAAGTCAATGAGAATAAGCCTAAAGGTAAATATTTGAAACAATGACATTCCACAGAAATACAGGAGTACCGGGGGTAAGAAAACAATATGGCCGCCAGACGGACATCTCAGACAATTAAAACCCCAAAAATGTGCACCTGCAACAAATTATGTACATCAATGCACCAAGTAAGATTGAAATTGGTCAAGTGATTTCAGAAAACCAATTATAGACTCAAATATTAGGATAGAACAATTTAATTCCAAAACTCCTAGTCAATCAAATTGGATTAAATCATCAAACACAATTAGGTGCATATACATTTTTTAGGAAAACAAATTTCTGCCAGGAAAACAGACAGCAGGAAAAAAAAGACCACCAGATGGCCATTTTAAAAATGATACCTAGAAAACATAACATGCACCTACCACCCAATAAGATTTAATCATTGAGTGGAGTCATCTCCAAGAGCCAGTTGTAGACATGTTCGAGTATTAAATTAGGCTATATTTCACGTAAAAATGGCTGCTAGTTGGCCATATTTGACTGAATTAAAAACAAAATTTGTCAATACAAGTTTGAAATACACATCAATACACGTTTGAATCAGCAAGAATTACAAAAAGCACCAGGCTTATGCATATATTGATTTTGTGAATTTCACATGTGAATTGATAGGGAACAGGCCCTTACCCCTGGCAGGGGTAATGATGAATTTTATTTCATTACATTACATTACATAGAAGTACATTTCTCTCACCATAAACTGCAAACCTACTTACCAAAGGTATATCATCATCACTATCTTCCGTCTCCTTTTTGATTGATTTCCTGTTGCGATAGCAAAAAGTAAAATTAACAGAACGCAGGTAAATATGGGTTAGACAAAATAAATAATTGAAAATTGAAAGAAAAAAAGTCGAAAAGCATTTCATAACAATTTAACAAACTTATTTTTTGTTTCGTTATTATATTTACTATAAGTTATATTACTATAAGTTTCACTTGTGAAACATAGCATGACCAGAATGAGCTACTGTGCAATGCATTAGTATTTGGGTTTTTTTTCAAACTTTTTATGTAGATTACATTAAAATCACTAAGTATTTTTTGTTACGTGAAAATACTAACATTTTTAGTTTGACTGATTTTTCAAGTTCATGATGGCTATTTTAAAAACAAATTAAGGCTTTTCACTATTTTCCCCAGACGCCTAATTTAAAGTAATTATGGTAAGTGAGATGCACCATGGGAAGACCGCCATTGTCATCAGGTTTCACCGATAAAGTAGTGATAGCATGCGCTTACATGCACGAGATAACACTGATTAAATTACAATGATACACATTTCACAAAATGCTACAGCCATCCACCATCGCATGCAGAGAGGATTTTTTTTTCTTACCTGCCATCTTCAGTTTTTATGACAAGTTTAGTTGGTGACACAGATTCGGATTTTACTTTGACCTCGCCGGCATTATTGGGTCTGTCGTTTTCATTTTTATGAGAAGAGGACGACTTCTTGGCATCTTTGTTTTTACTGTTACTGTCTTTATGCGACGACGATTTTGAACCGTCCTTGTGTTTGCTGCTAGAGCTGGAGGAATGTTCTCTATGCTTTGAAGCAGTGTTTGATTTACTGGAATGATGATCTTTCGGTTTTGAGCTGCTTGAGCTTCCATCCTTTGGCTTCTGAGTACTTGAACTGCTCTTTT